AGAGGCCGTGGACTGTGGAGTTCAAGGCTGTGGACCCTTCTCGCCTCTCTCTCTCTCTCTCTCTCACTCTCTCTCTCTGTGACTGGAGGCATGTATCTATTGCAGTCGAAATCAAAATTAATAGAAAGGTACAATTTCCGAAGCGTCCCTCCGAGTCCGTGGAGAGTTCAATTTTCTGGTACATTGACGACTCTATGGAGAATGGGATTTTCCCATTAATTTAATGCTAGTATTACAATGACGACCCTGATGTTGCCCCATTTTACTCCCTGGCCACTATATGTGTCCAAACCCGGCTCCTTTACCCGTATCGGCCTGGTTAATTTCCAGCTATATTTTTATATATATAGCTCCTCCAGGCAGTCTATTTACTGCTAGCTAGTATACTAGTAGTATTTATCTACCAGGTGATATTAGGCTTCAAAATTTTATGTTGTTTTATTAGTATTTTTGTTCCTGGAAAAGCTTTTGTGAAGGGGTATGCTGGGAGACTTTTATTCTATTGAGGCGTGAAAGCTAACCCTAGCATTCAAATTTGTCAGATTGTATGTTTGCAAGTTTATATATATTTGTAATGAGAAACATAGTGCATATAAGTTTGATAAACACGACATATGGCGTTTTATCAAGACTAAATGAAAACAAGAAAACAGCAATGATGATGGCAGTCCAGTCACGATGAGCGAGAGAGAGACAGCGATTGGGAACTCGGAGGCAAAAAAGGAGGCTGGATGCAAATGAACTATGCTATAACAAGGAGGTTTGGTGGATATGAATTCAATGCCCTAATTGACAAGTTGGCATGTAAAAAGCTCGGTAATGATTGATAATTGCCAAACTCTTACGTATTTCGCATACATCAAATGTATAAATTTGAGATTTTCTTCATATATACTTATAACTTTACATGTAGTCTCCTTGTATTTCATTTTTAAGAAATTTTATTAATTGAAGTTTAGAGACGCAAGTAGACTTGAGTAAACTTATTTGAAATCTATTTCTAATTAACTTTCTACGTAAACAAAGACATATGAGAGAGCAAATAATTAAATTAATTATTATTGTTATAGTCCATTTGAATGTATAGTAAGAAGAGATTTTCATCAAATTAAAAGACCTAAATGATATTGAATTTATATTCACTACATTTTTCAGTACTTTTTTTAATTCTTAATCTATATATAATTTTGCTGATTCATTTAATTAATGCAACTCTGTCAAATTCCCTAATCGATGGTCGAAATTTTCATTTGAGTAATTTGAAAAATCATTTACATATTGATGAACAAAATTGGTTTGACTTTATCCAATGATATTCATCACAAACATTAAGGGCCTCCCTTTCATTTTCAAAAATACCCTTAACATTCATATCCCTTAGACTTCTTTAAATTAGGAATGTGTCATGATCTACTCAGAGCAGACGTGACAAAAAATTTTGGCAATGTTAAATTATGGGACTACTACTGTTGATGGTGGGAACTACTTGAAGCAAAAACATGTTGGGTCAATGTTATTATCATAGGGTAAGAAACTTCCCATTTTAATAAAGTTGTTTTCGGCAAACACCAAAACAATTAGGAAACAGTTTCTTAGTTTTAAGTGGAGTAGACAGAGGCCCACACCATAATATTGCATGACAATCACATATTTTTCCATTAATGGAGATGGCAATGATCAATGTACTCGAGAAGTGCTGCAATTTTGAAACATTAATCTGAAAATGTGTTCAATGCTGCGTGAAAATTAAACCAAAGTTGAGAAAGATTTCCATGAAGCCATGGTTTTTCTGAACCCATTTAGACTTTAATAAATAGGCCAATGGAAGCAGATACTGGTGCTGTTAGGTTGAGAGACACCCTCATCATAGATAGATTTTCTGTGGAAAAAAAAATAATTAAAACTATATTATGTACGATCATAATCATTAATAAGAAGATTAACCAATAAGGAGAAGTAATCATGAAGGAGAGAGAGAGAATTGTTGTGTAGCTAGCCTTTGAAAATTCAGCAGAAGAAGAGAAGTAAATAAAACAAAGCAAATAACAGTGCAATTAATGTACAATTATATATGGCAAAAATACGGTCCATTTGTGAGGCAAAGATGATTTACATGTACAATTTCCACTAGTACCGTAGTCGGCAGGGGCATTAAAAAGACGATACGAAAAAAAAATTTTAAAAAAATCAACATAAAAGAATACATCTCAAATCCATCCCTCCTACATTGTCAAATAAAGAGTTTAAGTTATCAAGCTGTCTCATGGCTCCAGGAGAAGCTGACGTTTGTCTGCATTTCCATTTTCCCCCTCGTTCTCTCCTCAACTGCTATAAATACAGGCTGCTCTTCTTTTAACTCTCTCACCAACATTATCAGAGCAGTCCATTAACGGGGTTTTCCTTTTCTTTTTACTTGGTTTATTTAGCTTTGCACAGGGGAGTTGTTTTGTTTCTGAAACTATGATATAAGGTAGAAGATATATTAGCATAGAAGAATCTGTTAAGCTCAGGAGGGATAGCGCCATGGATGATCTTGACGCTTTTTTTTTTTTTTATGTAATCTGATCCTCATTAGCGCTATCCATCCTGAGTTTCATCGGTTCTTCTTGCTCCTGCTCTGTCTCTCAGTCCGACAACTGCAGAAAGATCCATGTTGGTACGTACTGCTTATCATCGCTTCTCTAGTCTCTACCAATCTTGATATATCAAGGTTTTGTTAGTTTCTTTCTTTAAAAATGTCCGAGCTTTCTGTGCCATCGCTCTTCTTTTACAACGTATACTGTATATATCATATACTATTACTTTTTAACTCTTTGATGGTAACAAAGGTTCTGGGATTGAAAGAGAATGAGTGACTAATTTCATTTTCCATTTATTTCTGTAAACATCTTGGCTGGACAAATGAGGAAGGGTTTTGGTATTTGTTTCCTCCTATGTCGTTTGTTAATAACAATATCTACCATCTAAACATATGTGTTTGTGATGATTTTCTTTTTCCTATGGATCTCCATTTGGGAATATGTACATGTACGGACAGATGTGAAATGGAAAGTAAAATAGGGGTGTTGCAGGATGGAAAGGTTAGAATTGGAATGGGAGAGATTGGCTTTTGTTTCCTACTTCGTGTAAGGCATGGTTCAGTTGTTCTACCAAGGCCGCCTCGTTTTTGCAATATCTGCACTCTTTCTCTTTCCGAACTTTGGGATATTTGTAATCCCAGTTTCCAGGTGACTGAATTTCCACGCTTCCTTTTCTGCTTCCACTAGAAAAACGCGAGTGCTGCTGATTATTTACCCCCCTTTCCCATGGCTTCTTTTCAATTATTTTTTGGAAAAATGTAACAAACAAGGACCTCATATTTGTGGAGATAATTAATTTCGTCTATAAGAAGTGCGTTGTATAGGGGTTTAAATCCCCTTTTTAAAAGTCAGAATTAAAAATTGCATGCCAAAATGGTGTGCTTCTATTCTAGGCAACGTTTCTCGAGAATATTTTAAAGGAAAATCTTAAGCTAATGCCTCTTTGCATATTGATACATGCTTGACTATAGCAATAGGTGGCCACTGCACTTGCGTATTTGCTTAGAATTGTTGTTTAAAGAAAATTTCTTTAGTTTGACTTAACAAGATTAATATGCAACTTTCCGAACTACCAAATTGTATCATTTTCAAATGAAATGGACTCATGTATATGTATATATATTTTCAATAATTTGTGTTGGATTGGAGTTTTATGATCATAATAATGCATTTGGAGACACTCTGTTCATCTCAGAATTTAAATAACACTATTATACGGTATAAAAAGGCATTGAACAAGAGAGATTAGTGATTATCCACAAGAAATCATGAAAAGCCTTTCATTTGTCTTATTGTAGCAGTTGCATTGAATGACATTCAAGGTTTGCCATGTGCCTCTGCAGAACTTCTTTTACAAGTCTTACCATGCACGCCAGCCATTTCATTCCCCTCCAGGCAGCCAGCAGCAGCATTGCCCCTATTCAAACGGATGGGGTAGACATTATATTTGGATTCAGGATTATTTCATTTTTTTCTAATTAAGGTTACTTCTGACCCTCTTGATAAACAACCATATAACCTCAACTTGTTTTTATGTCAATGGATTGCAAAGCGTGAGACCATCTTCAGTGGCATAGGGCGCAAGTCAAGTAATAAGTTTCCAAGTCCACTTATTATTATTCTTTTCTTTGTAATAATCGTGAAGATATGGTGCAGGAATTGTTGACCAGCATGTGCGTCAATAGTTGCAAGCGGTCAGAGTTATGCCTCTCTGTCACCCATGTGTCCAATTTTAACTGGAATCATACATAGGAACCAGGGCATTTGAATTTCAGCACCCTTTTTTTTTTAAATTTGCAAAGAAGGTAATTTGTGGACTGTCAAATTTGTGTCATTGGAAGTGAAAAAAGTGAGAAGTTGTCCATTTTAATTTCTTTTCCAGATAATAACTGAGCTGACCGATGTGTCAAAGGGTGTGTCGGGCTTCCTCTCCCTTGGAATGGCTGGACCATGTTCTTCAGTTTGTACCACGGATCTTCAGATGAGATGCCAAGGACAGTGAAATAGCAGGCCCACAATGTGAGCAAACAAAAATAAGCTGAAAAAGATACAAGTAATGACCTTACCTTGCTATGCATTTAGGCTAATTGATTTTCCATATTAAAAAACACGAAATCTCCGGCAAAAAAAAAAAAAGATATTTAAATGGGGTAGAAATTTATAATTTTATTCACAACAATGATCATAGATAATTTTGAAGGTAGTAAAAAAGTTGAATAAACCAAACTGATGTAAAACTCAATGAATTAATCTAATAAAAATTGGTTTACATAAAAATTAAGAAAAAAAAGGTCCAAAAGATGCAAAAAAGGGGCCAGACCCGGTGTAAACAGTAGTAAATGGGCTGAGAACTCAAAGCATTAAAGCTTGAGCAAGTGAAGAAAAAGTGAACATAGGTGACCTGGCTTGCCTGCGCACAAAATAAGATATTTTATTAAGCAGAGAACTGTAGCCGTTAAAATTCTGTTGATACACTTCCACCATACAAACAAAAACTGAAATCACTAGGATTCAAAGTCCAGCTCTCTCCGTCTCGGAGTTGAAAAGTCAGGCAGCTCAGAAAACCAATGGCTGCCACTGCCACTGCCACTGCCACTGCCACTGTCTCTCACTTTCTCTCTAAATACGATGTGCCAAAACACCCTTATCACAAACTCTCTAGGAACCGCAGTTTCTTACGCTGTACTCCAACAACTCTTCCCAAACCCAAGTCGTCTAAACACAACAATACCAGTACTTCACTCAAAACCTCACCCCAACAACAAAATGGTCAACCTAGGAAATCTCGAACCGCTCTCCCTCCCAAGCCTGTCGATATTCCTGACTCTAATCTGTCTTTCTCGCTTCTCTTTTGCCGGTTAAGGTACAAATTTTCTTACCCCTAATAATTGTTGGGCTTGCTATGCTCTTGAAATTTAAATATTTGAGCGTCTTCTTTTTTTAATCTTTCTGGGAGGGTTTTGCAGAGATGGGTTTAAGGTAGATGAGCTTGGATTGGAGATTTTATCCATTGCACTGCCTGCTGCGTTGGCTTTGGCTGCTGACCCCATTGCTTCACTTGTCGATACAGCCTTTGTTGGCCATTTAGGTGCTTACTTGTTATTTAGTTTTGTTCTATCGTCTTGGTAGTTTATAATCATATCAAGCTTGCAATTGTAGCTTTACGTTATTAATCACAGCTTACCATGGATTTACAATTTTCCCTAAAAATGAAATTAAACAGTAGGGGATAAATATTGGTTTTTGTGGTGCAGGGTCGGTTGAATTGGCCGCGGTTGGGGTATCAGTATCAATATTCAATCTGGTTTCAAAATTGTTTAATGTTCCTTTACTTAATATTACAACATCCTTTGTTGCTGAAGAGCAAGCATTAATTAGTAAAAACAATGATGGTAATTTCAGTGAATAACGCTAATAAGCAATTGCAATTCTATCATGATATTGTTTGGTTGAACTTTTACATAACGCTGACCTTTTGTTATGATTAAGATCGTGAATTTGAGCATCAAGGCAAGAGAGTTCTTCCCTCAGTATCCACTTCCCTGGCACTTGCTGCTGGTCTTGGCATTGCAGAAGCAGTTGCTCTCTCAGTTGGATCGGGTTTCTTAATGAATATCATGGGTATACCTGTTGTATGTCAGGCTAGCCAATTATGAATTTCTTATTATTATTTTTTAAATTGTAATGCTCTAATTTGATATATCTTATTCCTTTTTTTTTCATACCTTATTTCATAGGATTCACCAATGCGTGGACCAGCTGAGCAGTTTCTGACCTGGAGGGCCTTTGGTGCCCCTCCAATTGTAATTGCACTTGCTGCTCAAGGCACTTTTCGTGGATTTAAGGATACCAAGACACCTTTGTATGCCATTGGCAAGTATTGAAGCATGCCTTCCGTTTCAATTTCTCTCTAGGGGCCTCTTTGCTGCTTAATTGCAGTATGTTTCACTGAAATGCAGCTCATGTAATGGAGTCTAAAACCTGGCCCAATCTATTTTCTTGTCTGTGAAAAAACAATGACTTATTAGCATATGAGGACAACTATAAGATCTCAGAAGTTTAAGAATTGCTGAACCTTAGCCAATAGTTAATGACCGAGAAAGATTCAAAAAAGCTAGTTTGTGTTGATAAGCAGATCATAGGCTACAATTTTACCTTTATCCTTTTCATTTTTCCTCTTTGAATATCCAATTTCAGCTTCTCATACTAATTTTTTTACTTGTTAGTTTGTAAACAAAATTGCCAGTTATTCCACTATGGTTGATTTTATTCAAGAAGCACCCCAACTCTTCTTGAATTATTAGGTGCAAAATTAAGAACAAAGGATAAGAATAGCATTCTTCCATATCCAAAAGTTATTCTAGTTTAGCCTGTGGAACAAATATCATGCTAGTAGGTTAGTTACTGCCTTGATGCATATAGTGAATTTCTTCCTTGAACTAACAGGTGCAGGCAGCTTATTAAATGCTATATTGGATGCAATTTTGATATTTCCCATTGGTTTTGGCGTTGGTGGTGCTGCAGTTGCTACTGTGATTTCTGAGTACGTCAATAATGTGGTAAACTTAATGATTCTAGTGTACTTCGCTCATAATATTTCTGCTAATGTTGGAAGCTCTATTGATATTTTTACTTCTACTAACCTTTCATTTCATTTATTCTTAACCAGATATCTGATTGCTATTATTCTTCTATGGGAGTTGAATGGGAAAGTTGTGCTTGTCTCTCCAAATGTTGACTGGAGAAAAGTTTCCCTCTATATAAAATCTGGTACATTTCTTGCCAGCTAATTTTAGCAATATTCAATTTCATTTGACTCTCCCTAAGATTATCTTGTTCTGTCAATTTTATAGTAAATAGTCCAGGTCAATCTTGTATGGAAGAAAATTGTAGCAGAAAAAGTTTCAAGAGGAAAAAGCTGATAGCTTCTTTGGGATGCATATTATACAAATTTATCAGATCTAGGACAGTTTAGAATAGTAGCTCAAGTAATTTTTGACTCTACAGATATAATAGTGAAACTTATTCCTTTCTTACTCTGACAATCATTCTATTTTACGTTTGAATATAGTAGTCATACAATATCCTGAGATTAAGACAAGCCTTAACTGTTACTTTCGTGCTGATCTTAAGTATTACTTTCAGCATCTGCCTAGTTTTTTCTTATAGTTAACCTACATAAAATGAATGTTAACAGCAGACACTGTAAAGTACTTCAATTTTGAAATAGCCAAATTCTTCGTATGGAAATGGTTATGGTACTTGCAGGTGGACTTCTTATTATCAGGACCATAGCCACTCTCGGAACTCTCACGCTAGCAACATCACTGGCAGCTAGGCAGGGCCCTATTCCTATGGCTGGTCATCAGATTTGCATACAAGTTTGGTTGGCTGTATCTTTGCTTACTGATGCTTTAGCACTTTCTGGTCAGGTAACGTGTCCTGTGTTTTTCATATGGAAGACCCAAATGTAGAATATTTATGGCAATACCATATTAAGTAGCATTAAATGAAACCTGTTAAATGTATTTATATGGAACTACTTTTCAATCATCATTTTGGTTTCTGTAACAGGCTCTTCTTGCCACTGATTACTCCCAATCAAATTATCAACAAGCTCGTGAAGTGATTTATAGTGTTCTACAGGTTTATTAAAACCTAGTTGTCCATTTCTTTGAATTTTATTGCCCTTTTATTTATCTGAGCCATTTTTATTATCTTGTCACTTGATTTTCAAGCAGATTGGTTTAGTAACAGGATTTGCTTTGGCTGTCTTCTTATTCCTTGGATTTGGAGCATTTTCTGGCTTATTTAGCACAGATTCAGAAGTTCTCCAAATTGCCTGGTCAGGTGCTTTGGTAAGTGACCTCCTCATACACTTTTACAATAACTTCTGGAAAGATTCTGATTAACCAACAGAATACTCTGGATCTTTTTTATTGTTGCTTATAAAAGAGTCTACGGCCACTTTGAAACACATGGTCTAGTTTTCTTGGCTGTCTTTTTAGATATTCAAGATGAGTTTGGCTTTCAATGCCTTGTTCATGTATTTTTCATCATTAAAAATAACTTCTGTATTTTATTTTTTCACCTAGGAGGTACAACAGGAGTCAGCAGTTTCCATTTAACATACTAATTATTAGAACTATTATGAGTCTTTATGGACCAGACTCATTATGTTTGGTTCTCAAGAGATCTGTTTCTTGTAAAAATGACATCATTTCTTTCACATTGCTTTTTGATCTAATACGACATTGACAGAACAAAAGGAATTGTCTAATCAAGTCAAAAAAGATCTTTATGTTTTTGCTCTCCTGGACATGCAACAAGTGTCGTGATTGGCTTTTGACTTCTAGACTATCTGACATTGATACTGTTTTGCAGTTTGTTGCCGGCTCTCAGCCAGTGAATGCCATTGCTTTTGTTCTTGATGGGCTCTATTATGGGGTTTCAGATTTTGAATATGCTGCAGTCTCTATGGTTCTTTAACTTCCTTTCTTACTAATCTTTGACAAAGTATCTCTTTTCTATAATCTTTGACAACTGATAGATTTTTATGCGTCCTAAGCGTCCCATATGTGATTGTCTAGGTGCTAGTTGGATTGATCTCATCTGCATTCCTACTTGTGGCTGCTCCTGTATTCAGTCTTGCTGGAGTGTGGACAGGCTTATTTCTCTTCATGACCTTGCGTGTCGTAGCTGGAATTTGGAGGTAATCTGGTTTCTGATGATTAGGAATGCATTATCCTACGAGTACATATCCTGAAATATGCTATTAAAGCTTTCCAAATCATAATTTGAAATCTCATTAGATTGGACTGTTTAATGTTAGGTTGGGCACAAAAAGTGGACCATGGAAAATGATTTATTGTGATATGGAAAGAGGAAATGGATAAAGAATAGATCTAAATTGGCTGGCCAAAGCTCGGTTTGAGATGTTAAACGCTGTCAGGGTGGTAAGGACATATGAGAAGGTGGTGGCAATGGCAAAAACATCAGTACTCTAGTCACTTATGAGATGGTGCACAGCATTCAAAGACCTCTTAACTTTTAATTGAGGCTAACTGGATTCAGAACCCGTAGATTTAGACGCTTCTCAGCCGGACTCAATATGGGATGACTCGATTAGAAACGGAATTATATTTAATTCTGGTCAGAATGGAATTTATTCTCTTTTTCACACGCACAATCAGCAATGTAAATTTGTTTGCAGTTATTTATTATATCAGTCACATTTTCCTCTACATTGGCTTAACATTTTACTATTTTCTCAAAAAAATGTGATGTCTATTTCATAACTATGTTGTGAAAATTGTGGCGTGAAATGAGATATTGGGATAACAATGACCCTTCGCCCTGAGAAGAGAAGTAAAGCAGGAAAAGTAAAAATCCATTTACTTGCTCAGCAAATATGTTGAGAAAACAATTCGTAAGGAGGACTAAATCTGAAACAAAGAAAAGAATGAACCCAAATAATCACAGCGTAACATGGCTTCCGACAAAATTTCCTAAGAGAAAGAATATGGTATCTTATGAGATGTTTGATATTAACTGCAATGCTACACAGCTACTAAATTCGTACTAGTATTATTGGGCCACATCTTAAACAAACCCCAAAATTCCTAGAATCCACTCTCAGGAAACCATAAATCAGTCAATTTTGTTGCTTCCACAAAGTCCAAATCAACATCAGGACTCGAAAATTCCATATTGTAATCTACATCAGGGCCTGTCTCATGTTGGTTGAAGCCACCCTGGATCGGGTCCTCCAGCCAACCTCTATCAAGGTAGCTCGTAGAAGAAAACTCAAATTGATCAGAATCGTAATTTTCTTTTGCTCTCAATCCGCCGTTTCCGTTTCTAATTAAGGCAAAGGGCTTCTCATCAGCTATGACTTCTGCTGACAAACTATGCGGAAAGTGCAATTTATTCTTAAAACTGTTAATGCCAACATAATTTATAGGCGTCTGAACTTTGAAATCAACCGGTGTACGAGTATTAATTTGTTGTTGGCAGTTCAAATCCGGGCTCATAAGGCATGATATCATAAACATTTGTATCAAAACCCTTGTGGCTATAAAAATCTGTAAATCCTCCAGGTTCAACCTCCACTTCTTTCCTTAATATGGGCACTTCTGCTTTCATTTCACATAAGGGCTTAGAATAAATATCTGACCTGAGGCTATCATTTGTTTGCAGACGGTTATCATCTTTACCAAAGAAAAAATTATAACCAATTGAGTCAATACTTCCAGCAAGTTCACCTTTCCAGTTTTCCCTTGTCACTAGATTCTCAACTTTAACATCGTTAGAAAGCTCCAAGTTAAAAACTGAAATGCCTGCATCTTGGTCTGCATTATCTAAGTAATTGTATCTAAAATTGAAGCCGCTAGGTCTTGATCTAATAATTTGCGATAGCTCTACTTCTGATTCCATTTCTTTCCTCTTAAAGGGTGTCTGCAGATTATAATCATCAGAATACATAAAATTGATCGTTGATTGGCATTCCTCATCTTTGAGCTCATTGTGCAAGTAATCATTTGTATCCTTGATTCCATTAAAGTTGTGGATTCCCATAACTTCAGTAAGTTCATCATCCATGGTTTCTTTTAACGTCTCAACTTCAACTCCATGCTCTTTATAAGGTTTGCAGTCATTTCTTGAAATGCATTCTGTTCCGGTGTTGTCATCTGCTACACATCCTGCTTCCTCCTTTATATAAACTTGAGAACAATCATGTTTCTCCATCGATTTATCCTCTAAGCAGACCTTCGCTTCTTCAACTATATGAAGCTCAGAAGATTTAAGTTCTTCCGCAGGGGACGCATAATTAATATTTGATTCCTTACCTTTTTCATCTTCCGAATATGATATTGAAGTATAATCAGTTGAACATGCTTCAGTGGCAGATGAAACAGACAATTTGTTGGAGTTATCCACCGAATCCTTGGAATGATCAGGGAAATTGAGGCGAGCATAAGGACCATACATAGCCTTTGCAGCCTCATCATAAGCAAGAGCTGCTTCAATGGCATTAGACAACGTTCCAAGCCAAAAACTGTTGTTTCCTCTACTTCCTACACGAACCCCATTTATTGGTTGTCGAATTTCTGCTACCCACTTGCCCCAAATCCTTTGTCGTACACCTCTAAACTTACATGTGGAGTTCTCTGGCCCTCCTTTCCCTCGCATACAACCCTTGGCCGGAACCTTACAGATATTTCTGAAGCCAGCTTCTTCAACAAATTGAAGTTGGTTGTTGTTGTTGTTGTACTGCTTCCTCTTTTCAATAGTGTCTTCTACTGATTCACGTCCATTTCTTCTTGCTTGGGAATTCTTATTACTAGCCCTAACACCATCCTTGCGCTTTCTATTCATTGGGGGAACTTATAACTGATTCAATAATAAACAAGTGAAAAAGCTGACATGTCTCTGGAGCATAGATTAATTACCAAAAGAAGAAATCAGAAGTATAATACATAAACTTAGAAAAGAAACAAACTGAAGGAAAGAAAGTAGGTTAGGAGAAGAAAATGGCGAGCGGAACTCACTCATGAACAATCTTCTTCAGAGGCCTGTGTGCGTTGCCAAGTTTTTCTTTGAAATTTAGTAGCAGGAGTTTAACTTCTTTGTTTTTGGAGTTTGTAGGGAAAATATGAAGGAGAATTGGACTATGTTTCTAATTGAGGTCAGCAACGACGAAGCTGAGAATACCTTGGGATGGAAGCAAAACACCAATTTTTGATATTCCCAAAAAGAATTATAAGGGACGTGGCATCTTTCCTTCGGGTTACTTATATAAGCGAGAGATGAGTCGTGGCTAAACCCCGATCAAGACCAATATAATTGAGTTCCGGAAGACTTTGTCTTTTATTTTCAGCATTTTAACCCTTTCCTTTCCTCACAAAGTTATTGTCTCTTTACACGTTTTTTTTTTTTTTTTTTTTTTTTAATTGCGATAAGAATAGTAACATTATTTCCGCTCTTGTCCCGTGGGCGTTAGTATTTGGAAACTTCTGCCTCGTACTTGAAACAGCACTTTGTTTCATTTCCTTAATCCTATCGCTGGACAGATAGAGACAACGCCCAAGCCCCATACCATCTCGAATGACTGACTAGTCCAATCCAATGAAACCATGTGTATTGCATTTCACAGGAATCCACGTCATTTGACCGAATTTTTCTATTTTTGGATCGTTCCTTTTCATTCATTTTCCATTTTTTATTAATTTTTTGTCATTAATTTATGGCACAAAACTGCATCACGAATACAAAAATTTATCTCAGGCGGACAAAATTATACACAATAATAATAAAATTTTAAACATATTTTGCTGTTCCATTGTGTGCTTAGATATGCCAGATGGGACCTTGAGCTGGATAAATTGTTGATGAGAATGCCTAACAAGTAGCAAGAGAGGATCAGAATACATGCCAAATCTCATTTCTCTATCACAAGCCATAATGTTCTCCCAAACTACAGAACCCAAAAAAAGAAAAAAAAAAAAAACTAGCAAAGGCAGAAGAAAGAGAATAATGTACAAGGCACAACATCATAAGTAGTATGTATACAAATCCACAGCCAATCTTCAACACCATCCTCCGGTTGAAAGACCACCTTAGGAAGTTTTCGGTTCATGAGGTATTGGCAGCAACTGTAGCATCAATCGATCAACTCGTGCGTAATTGTCAAGAAAGAAACCCAACCTTATGAAGCATCAAAGTTAATAACCTTTCATAGGTCAGCTCCCAGATTACGAATTTCTGTCTTCAAAGAGTCAGCAAGAAAACCAATAAGTTAAACAGAAAGCAAGGAAATCAAATATGGTGAAACCATTTTTTTTTTATTCACTTCTTTTTTATTTGGATTTTTTCCCAATGAAATCTGCCTATCAACTTATGAAGAGTCAATAGGCTCCAAAGTATATCACATGCACAATTAATTATACAAAGCATAAAAAAACAAAGTGATTGTATGCGCCAAGATGTTAGTCACAAACTTTCTCCAAATTCCTTAATTAGTTAAACCTGAGTACATAGTGAAACTACTAAAGGGTGGAACCCCCAGAAGAAACTTCAGCAAGATGATAGGTAACTAATGCTCTTGGTTAGTACATCTGCATATAAAGCTAATGTTCTTAGTCACTACATCTTAATATAAAGTTTTGATGCTGGTAAAGCCTTTAATTTGATTAAAATTATTCAAAAAAAGTCCATAACACCCTTAACCAGGTTGCAACATAAACATAATAAGAATTTTGCCTTTTTAACCATCACAATTTTTCTTATCCATTGAGGAGAAACAGAATCAAATTTCTGTAACATAGATGAAAAATCTCACATGCATGTGAACTGTAATGCTCAGAATAACACAACATTTTGTGTGCTCTCTGCATTTGCAAACTGATTTCAGGTAAGAGCTATAAAACCCTTCCAAAAGCACATGTCATGCAGCTCTAAACTATTCCCTATACAATCCTTTACCCTCACTTCCTGGAGCTTTCCTGAAGACAAGGCAACTCAACATCACCATTCTGTATGTTACACCTAAATACTGAGAATCTTTATCATTCCCTTCTTATATTAGTTTTTGTTTTATAAAGCCATATTACACAATTTTCATACTAATGCAACGGACAAACATAAAAGGCACTAAAAGCAGAAGGAACTAGTTTCTCCAAATAGTAAATACCACAAATTATTCAGCATTCACAAAATGGCAAGGATAAAAATTAGACACCACTGACATTCGCTAAAATAAGATGAACCTTCATAGAAAGTAACAGCACTATCTATCAAACATTTAATGGGGAAACAAACCGTGTTCTGCTATACTTGGTGCTACTTTCATTTGGAACATGACCAAAAGAAAAATCAACCTTCAAGTTAAGCAATAAACTTTGTTATAGTAAGTCAATCGGTAGTCATGAACCTAAACTAAATTAGTTTAGCCATAGAAGCGATGCAACAATAATAGTAAAAATATCGACTATCTAAAAATGCAATATAAAGTAGGATCATTTGGGGAATATAAGAAATTACCTGGCATGAAAAACGACAGGAAGCAATTATTCAACTCCAGCAGACCTAGCAACTTTGTACCTTAACTTCCTATTATGATTTTCCTGTAAACAAATGATTTAGAAAATACCCTGAGATGCACAAAGAAACCAACTTTAACCACGAAGCTCACCTGTTCAAGAACCTTAGCTGAGCTGGCTTCAACGAGCCTGGCCAAACTTTTGATTTTTGAAAGCATTTTCTCATACAAATCCTCTAATCCAGCCGTGTAATTAACTGCTTCCGGTCCAATCAACCTGTTCAATCTCCCAATTTGCATTCCCTCGGCGCACATATCCAACTCCGATTGATCCTTTGCTGTTTGTTTCATTCCAATTAAATTCTCCTCATTTCTATCTTCATTCATCGCCATTACCCTCCTCAACTCGCAGTTCAAAAAGGGCAGCGCAGAGGTCGGGCTAAACGACCCGTAATGTCCTCTAAACGCAGGCCCAATGTTCACTATATCGATTGATACCGGGTTAAAACAGAGCTTCGATGATTGGAACTGGAAGGCCCGATACTGGTTGGTTTGGATGAATTGGTCTTGTAGAGGAGTGGTGAAGAGGAGGAAAATGCAAGGAGCGAAAAGGGAATTGAAATCAGCGTTTTGGATTGGGAGAGAGAGATTGGGTAGAGAGGAGAGAGAACGAGCGACCGAGGACTCGCGCATGGAAGGGCGGAGGGGGGTTTTCCGGCGAGAGGAGAACCAGCCGATGAGGGGATTGTGGTTGAGGTGAGTAGGGAAGAGTCGAGAGGAGTCGACCCGACCGAGTGAGTCGTAGAAGGAGAGAAGTGAAGGGAAGGAGAGGAAGCTGGAGATTGTGGCGACGAGTTGCGAATCGGGGGAAGTCTGGGCGTAATCGTCGGATAGGGTGGAAGGTGCGATGTAAGTGACGTGGCCGAAGAGGAGACCGTCCACGTCGGCAGGGGAGGATGAGAGGCATTGGATCATGGAGGCCATTGTGGGGCCTGATATTGCTATTTTCTGCAATACCAGATCGTCCATGTCGTGAAAATGGTGAGAGCAACAGAGAGTGAGCCAGATGGGTAGGGGCTGCCGGGATGCGCTTCAGTCTTCACTTCGGTAAACTAAAAGAGCGGCAGCGTTTGTTACTTGGGCCTTTCCTAGCAAATGAAGGAAGTGTTGGTCCATTGGGCTTAAACATTGAGAGCCGCACTTTTGCTGCTGTCTATAACAATAAAAATTAAATTGAAACCACGACATTTAGGCTACAATTGAATTTACAGCAGAGACTGATAGTCTGATACCAAAGTTATTTATGGTATCAAATTAAAAGAACTTAAGAGGGAAATCACTATCTATGACCCTCAATAAAAATCATCATATCATCAAGATCAAAAGGGTTATAGTGAACAACATGGGCAGGAAAGGCAAACCATAGCTCGATTTCCCTATAATGGAAATAAATATCATATGCATTTTGCTCTCTTATTTTCTTAGACAAAAAAGAATATACCCGTTCTAAACAACTTATATTACATATACAAAACAACAAATACAAATAAGAATCAAAGAATCTGTTGACTAACCCATCTTTCCCCTATAATGGAATTTCAAGTTTAAACCCCTTAAAATAATGAAGATACTCTATTCACTTGTCGCTGGAACTTTAGCTCCATCATCACCAGAACCACCAGCAGCCACCTCTGGCTTAATCTCTTCTAACTGCTGCAGAACATGCTGAACTTCAGGACGTGCTGCAGGTGAGGGATCAACGCAGTGAAGAGCTAATTTCAATGTGTTAAGCAACTCATCATTTGTGGTTGGTGTATCTCGCATGAGCTCCAAATCAAAGACTTCATTAGTCCATTCCTCTTTTACAATGGATGCCACCCACTGGGGCAAGTCCATGCCATTCGTTGGTTCACCTGGGGATTTCCCTGTAAGAAGTTCCAGTATGATCACCCCGAGGCTGTAGACATCAGTCTTTGTGCTGGCATTCTTCAGCTTTGACAGTTCTGGTGCTCGATAGCCAAGTGTTCCTGCAGTAGCAATTACATTTGTGTTGGCCGCAGAAGTCATTAGCCGAGAAAGGCCAAAATCTGCAATATGGCCATTGGCTTGCTCGTCAAGTAGTATGTTACTGGATGTGAGGTTTCCATGAATAATATTTTCTTGAGTGTGTAGGTGGTTCAATCCTCGTGTAACTCCAATTGCTATTTTCATCCTTGTTGGCCAATCAATGGTGGTTTCGGGCCCTCGAGCTACACAAGATATTCTACATTGTTAGAATTGACGGAATGATCATGTCAAAAGGCATATATGTAGGCAACATTCTTGCGTAGAGTCTGTCCGAGGTACACAATTAAACAAATCCTTTTTATTTTTCTTTTATTTCTCTCCTAGAACTAGCTTAAGTATCTAACTAGATTATGCGTAGTGAATATGCCTATAGTTGTATAAATACTAATTTTTAAGTTAGTTGAATCTACTTACCGTGGAGAAAAGATGCAAGACTTCCCTTGGGCATGTAATCAAATACAAGAAGCTTCTCTCCTTTGGGTCCCAAGTAATAGGCCCTAAGTGCAAGGAGGTTTGGATGGCGGATCTTTCCAAGTGCAGCAGCCTCAGTCTCAAATTCCCGCTGTCCCTTTGTAGTCTTCTCCCTCAACCTCTTCACAGCAACTTGATTACCATCTTCTAAAGTTGCCTTGTACACTGTACCATAAGTGCTCTTCCCCATTATCTCAGCAGTGGCGCATAGTAGATCATCAGCTGTAAAGACAAATGGACCATCAAAGTGGACTAATTTTCCACCCATTTCTCCTCCTGATTGTTCTCCAGTGCCTGCCACAGGAACTGCCTTCTCAGTTTTCCCAATGGCAGCCCCCATTTTACCACTCTTTTGTTTCCTAGTAGCTTTTTTCTTCAGTAAGCAGCAGATTAAAATGCAGCATAATATTAATAGAATCACAAGAAGGCCACCGGCTGCTATGAGGATGATGTCCTTAGTACTAAGTTTTCTGTGATGATGTTTGGGTGCCTCTGCTGGTGAAGGAGAAAGATTGAAAGGGGCGGGAGAAGGACATAAGGTTGATGTGCTGTAGCCACAGAGCTGAAGATTGCCCACAAAAGAGCTTGAATTGAATTTTTTGGCAAGGAGAGATGGGACAGCACCAGAGAGATTGTTGTAAGAAACATTAAAATGACTAAGATTGGTTAGGCTGGCAAGTGAATCCGGTATTTCTCCTGTAAAATTATTTCCAGATAAATCTAATTGATTGATGCCAGATATGTTGCCTACAGTTGCTGGGATCCGGCCACTTAATCTATTATTTTTAAGGTTGAGCACTGTAAGGTTTTGCAGATTGTCCAATGTTTCTGGGATTTGGTTATCAAGGTGATTGCCCTCTAGATTTAAAGAAACAAGAGAGAAGAGGTTGGAAAAGCTAGAAGGAAAGCTCCCATTGATAGCATTGCCTGATAAGTCTAGGATCTGGAGTTTTGATAGTGTCCCCAGTTCATCAGGTATGGTCCCAGAAATCTGATTATGGCTTAAAGAAATCTGTTTAAGTAAATTCAACTTGCTCAGAGAAACTGGAATTGTTCCAGTGAGGGAGTTATGATCAAGGGTCAAGAACTGAAGTTGGTAAGAATTGTTTCCTGTTCCAACCCAAGTATCTGGGACAGAACCAGAAAGATTGTTATGTTGTAAAGCAAGAATGGTGAGAGACGGTGACCTGGTGAAACGAACTGGGATGGAACCCAGCAAAGAATTGTAGCTAAAGTTAAGTCTATATAACCTAGTAGAGTTGGCAAGACTAGTAGGAATTGTACCGGTGAGTGAATTGTTACTCAAATCAAGAGTTTGAAGAGCAGGACAGTTACCAACAGAAGGAGGGATGGAACCTGAAAGCCGGTTGTTGAAGAGATATACCCCTCTGAGATTAGGAAGAAACCCAAGGGACCAAGGGACTGGACCACCAAGAACATTATCATGGAGGCTAAGCTTCCTAAGAGCTTGAAGCTGACCAATCTTCTCGGAAATGTGGCCACCTAGTCCCCTCCAAGGAAGCTGGATAGCAATGATCTGTCCCTTAGCACACTTGATTCCAGCCCACATACCCGAGCAAGCTCCCTGGCCGCTATCATTCCAGCTGCGTAGGAATCCTTTGAAGTCGATGAGTTCACGTTTAATGGCTTGAAGAGCTTGATAATCAGCTTGGGTTACAATTACCCCATCCCAGTGTTGGGCTGAAACAAGCTGAGATGCAAGTGGTAGCAGAAACAGAAACAAGTGGGCAAAGAGGAAGAGCTTGTTTCTAAACGCAAAAGTGGATATAAAATTCTTGTGTGGTTTTATCTTCCATTTGTCCGTTTGTGAATCTGAAATATTATCTTGAAGCCAAGACCGGAACATGTATGGGTTAGATTCATTGAAATAATAAGTATTTTCCATGAAAATGCAAGAGAAACAACAGTAAGAGGGAGAGAAAAGGAAGGAGAAGAGATGTACTCCTCTTTTCCTTGTGGATGCAGAAGAGGAGAAAGATGAAGAAGGTAGACAGGAGATAGAGAGAGTAAAGCCAAGTGAGGAGAAATAAAAAGGGAAAGAGAGAGGAATCTTGATGCGCTAGACAAAGTCAGTACAGATGGGGGTCTTCTTCTTTAGATAAATTCTAACGGCTAGTTTTACTTCCATTCCATAAAACCGTTAGAAGTATGGAAGGCGGGTGAACGTTCTTACTGTAACGGCTATATTTCATGGGACCACGTCTTACTGGATTTTATAAAGCTAAACTCACTAGCCCACTAAGTTCAAATAGAGTACAAAATTGATTGCTTTAAATCAAGGAGACAAATACAGCGACGACAATTGGGGTTGAAGAAGGATAATCATGTGGATTTTGATACGGTGCTAGACCGACTGTTGACTACCAGGAAAGGAAGAAGGGATCTCGTCAGTCTCATTTTGTTCTCAAAATTTTCAGAAATTCACAGAAAAAAAAAAAAAATTGAAGAATCTGTTTATGTAGTGATCCGGCAAAAAGTCTGAAATCAAACCATCAAAGGCATTATCACAGGGACGCAATAACGAGGCAGGGTAAAAACCACGTAAGTGGAATTCTCAAACGTCGTGCATTGGCTTATCTCCATGCTACTGAGACAAGTTCAATGACCCCCATTTCACACACCATGAATGCACCACCTTCATCAGCTTTTGTGGACCAAAGGCATGAAAATACAATTTTACTAGGTCCAAGATTTGAACGCAATCCATCATTTTAGGTTCTGTTTATTGCCCAACAACCCAAATCATAAATAATTCACTTGTTTAGGAGAGAAGCTCGACGGCAATTATAGTGTTGCAAAAACATTGACTGCCAAACCATTTCACACCATGGAAAAATGGAGAAAGAAATATACTACAGCTCCCTAAAACCCCCGAGTAATAAATATTACTCACCTACAAGGTTACAGGCATTATATCAATCCTACAATCACAATATAACTCCTTGCTCTAGCACACAAGAGACAATGCTCATTTGATTTTTTGTACTCAAATTGCTTTAAATCCTTGAGAGTTAATCCTAATATCTCTTGTTTTTTTTGGAACCTATACTTGGCTAATGCTAAATGGATTTTTTTTTTTATAGGATAAGTATGTGTAACATGACTGTAAAAATGACAAAATCAAGGATACAGACATTATTACCAATCCTACAAGGTTAATGAGCACAATATATCACCAAACCACGACCAATTCTATGGGCTATACTCGTTAGTGCTGCTGATAAGGCCAAACTACAAACATTCAACAATTACAACTTGCACATCAATTAGAATCGTTAAAATGTTATACCAAAGAAGAGTGAGTTGATTTGACGCACACTTATATCCCATTCCACGAGTTCAACACAATTGCAATATCATGATCAAAGGTATTATAAGATTAAGATCTGCAATTCATACCACAACAAAAGAAAGAGTACAACTCTGCTTTGATTCCAGTCCTGATCTTTAAATGAAACCAATTCATTCAATTTAACAAAGACTCACGCATTTGACAAATAATAAGCATAAAACATGTTGGAGAAAGAGTCCATATAGCATTTCCATTGCAAGAATCAACAAAACCAAATTCTCAATAAAATCATTCTAACCAAGAAAATTAGGAAATGATTAATTAAAACATGAAAATTAAAGTGTACATCCAAATTTTATTAGATGTTTTGAGATCATTCTCAAGGTTCCATCAACATGTGCACGCACGACTGCATCCGACTGGGGCCACCATGACCTATCATGTTTTCTATACAAAAGATGAATAAACTCCTAGCAAAATGACAAGGCAGGAATCTGAAAAAAGAAGTTTATGGCAGTACAAATAAATCTATCAACAGTTCATAATTAGAATGAAACTCTGTATCAGAAATTCAGAATGGTAATGTTGTAATTGGGGAAAATATTGCAAGAGTTGTCTCAACCAGTCCGCCAGAGCACCAGAAACCACTAAAGAAGACACAAACACTCATCCTCGTCCACATACTCATGTTAATAAAAACCGAGGGCCAATATTTAAAAAATAAAGCCTAGAGTGAATCAACCACAAATATCATAGCTGAAAATCCCACTGAGCATGAAAGCAGGTAGATCAATAGTCATGCAATTTGATCTCCCTACATTTTACCCTATTTCATATGTTTCAGGTTGCCAGTTGCAACAAATAAAGCACACTACAATGTGTTACAAGAAAGAATAAATCGTATGCATACAAGTTGTAAAGAAAAGAACTACAAGCACCATAAGAGGAGGGTAGCTAGCAGCATCAAGCATTGATCCATTAAGATGTTATAACAAAGAACTGATTAGTAAATAGCATTGGGTGAAATTTACATTAACTAATACGGCGATTAAATTATTCTCTATAATGCAAAGAGGAAACCTAAGAGAAAAGGATGTATAATCATGATCTATGCACAGATCTGGCGCTAAGAATTCTCTGAAAGTTTCCATAAACACATATTCACTGCATGCAGAATAAACAATAAGATTTTTACACATGATCCGTGCCAAAAAAAAAAAAAATGGAACAACAACTTTGTATAATGGAGTCTCAATGGATCCACCGGTATAAAGTATCTAATAAACCAGATCCATATACATTTCACCAATGTTAATATAAACCTTACTCATAAAATGAAAAGAGAAAATATCCTAGAAATTCCCCCATAGGAAATTTATTTTGTAATAAAAAAATTTGAAAAATTGAATCAGTCACGATTGAAGCCATATTGTATTACCCTAGAGAACAAGATTCAGAGAGATGGAACCCAGGATCAGATTCAGACACGAGTGGCAACAGCAGGAGCAGCGGCAGCGGCGACATTGGAGGCAGCACCACCTAGGAAGGACAAGAAACCGGTGGCTGCTGGTTCTTGCTCGTCCAAAAAGAGATCCTCAGGGACCCTGAAAGCGCCGTGAGCACAGACGAGACCGAATCCAACCATGAGAGCGGAAATGAGAAGAGATCCAACCGTGGTGAGGAAGACAACGAAGACGCTAAAGATGATCAGGATGCCAAGGGTCTCGCGGTCGGAGAAGGTACGGCCGAATACGACGAGAGGCTGGTCAGCGGGGCGGAAAAGGTAGAGGAAGATCCAGGAGCAGACGAGGCCCAGAAGGAGGAGAAGGGAAAAGGGATGGGAAAGAAGCGAAAAGGCAAGAATCAGGCCAATCACCGACAAATAATTGACTCGGAAATACGAGTAATTCTTGCGGACACGGAGGGCGGCTTCAGAGAAGGACTCAGGCTTGGAGAAGGCGGTGCGGTCAACAAGTTCAGCCCAGGGACGGCGCTGGGAGAGGCCGTTGCGGAGGGAATCATTCAGATGGGAGATAAAAGAGCGAAATACAGGGGTGGCAACTGGTGGTTGGGATTCGGCGGATTGAGCGGTGGAGATTGGGAGGATGGGTGGAGCTGAGGAGGACATTGCAGTTGAGAGATGCTTTGGAGGATATACGAGAATGGGCGTTGGGTGGAGTTGAGAGCTGATTTATTTGGGGATTTGATTGGCCAAGTTTAGGAAGAGGCAGAGAGAAATTTTAGAGCAGAGGATTTAGATTTAGATTTTAAGAAAATTCTAGATTTGGGGTTTGGTTTGGCGTGCAGAAACATAAAAGAGAGGCAGAGATTGACGGGGTAAGGAAAGGGAGAAGGACGTTTCACGGTGTTTTCCTTTTTCTTTTTTTTTTTTTTTGTCCTTCGATGTTTTGACGAGTGGACCTTAAATTAAATATAGTCCCTGCCGATTTCTTAGTCGCGCCCTTCAACAACTCAGCCGCAGACACGCCATTACAACTCGGTTTTTACGCTTGGTTAATTCGCCGACAGATCGGTAGGAATGAGAAAGATGATGACGCTCAATTTCTATGTCAGCTGTGCTTAAATATATCATTTAAGCTCCATGTACAAGGAGAGCATTTCATCAATAAGTCTCTTTATTGCTATAGTATAATTATTTAATTATAATAAAAAATTATGTAAAAATTAACTATTTATAAGTGTAAATTTCATATAAAATTTTAATGAATTTTATATAATTCTAAATTTAATTGATTAATTATACTCTAATAGTTATAAATAATATCCTTCCACGTAAATTCCATTATTTAGATGAAATTGCATCATGTAATACCAAGAAGCCACATTTTGTGTTGTTTTAGCTAGATTGTAGCAAAATCACACTCTAACTAATCTATTTAAAAAACTCATGCTTACATGAAATCCATTTAGATGAACAGTAAAAATTAATAACAATAGTAAAATTAATTATTATAATAATAAAATTAATATTATAACAATTACTTTAAAATTAATAATGAGATATATAATTGGATATCAAAGCAAAGATGATAGTAAAGGGAGAATAAAAATATCCATTAAAAACTTTATTCTAAATATATTAATAAAATATTTTTATGTATGTTTTAATATTATTTATAACATTTAAAATCTTCAATTTTTTATTCTAAATCAAAATAATAATACAACTTGTTTATTTATTAATTTATTATATAATAATAAATTTTATTTATTATATTAAATCAATAAAGTAATTTTAAAAATTTTAAATATAAAATTGAAATGAAAAACCAAAAAAAAAAAAAAAGAATGAAAGATTATTGTATGAATATTTTTATTATAACTTTAAGGGGAAAAAAAAAACACAAAAGCAGAAAATGATAGGCAAAGTTGGATGGAGGTAGGTGGGAAGGAAAGATTCATGACCGGAGCTAAAAGGTCTAGTGGAGAACTGGTGCAAAACGCGCCCCAATGGTGTTACACAAACAGCACAATGGTGAGATTGGACTAAAAAAGTGGTGCAAATCGCACCTCAAACCCCCTTCCAGTGGAATCCAAATGACCCCTTAGTTTCTCCACAAAGGGCAGCAAACCACATTTCTTGTCCCACTAAAATTCTCTAATCTTATAATGACGCCCCATAGCTATTCCTTGCACTGTGCAAGAAAGCTGGTGCAAAAATACCCATGGACACAACAATCTAAAGACCCTAAGAAAACATCAATGCAAACCATGTAGCAAATGGTTAAACATTATTTCAAATAGATCAAAACAGTAGATGATCTGTTGACAAAATAGGTTTTCCCTCCAAGACTGAATCATGTGCCATAGCTTCAGATAGGCTAGTGCCAAGATAACATAAAATTCCTTGCCAAATTAGTACATGATCCTAAGAAAACACGTAGATAAACAACATAATACAATGCAAGTATTACCAAACTTTTTCAGCACCAAGTCACCACTGAACAGATGACATCGATGATTTCAAAACATGCCAGACTCAGAAGGTGGATCCATTCCATCCAAAGTTGGAACCCTGCAAAATAATCCAAGTATCAGCACTATCAAGCAGCAAGTACCACAAATGAGTGCTAAATATCATCACAGGCCAAAGAAATGACATAAGTTGGACTCACAATAAAACTAGTGAATGCAATGCTCACGGTATGAAACAGAAAAGATTTATTTACATTATCTACTGCTGGTGTAAAGCATGTAAACACTGTGCATATTCTTGGCTTTGATGTGCCTAAACAAACAGGGAAATGGAATGAGAAGAGACAAATAGATGCCAACAACCTATCCTATTGGCAATAAAGAAAGAAAAGATAGCTTGCCTTAGTGTCATAGAATTTGAGGAAGAACCGTGACTTAGGCACTTGTAACTTTGTTTCAAGAATTGCAGCAATTGCAGCACTCAGTTTCTTGTTCACATCTGGATTAAGGCCACCAATGGATACCAACTCGCCATAGGCAGCTGGCTGCTCAGTACCACCAAATGACATGGGCACTGAACCCTTCAACACAATCATCACATACTGCATATCAACAGCCATATGTTACGTGCCATGGATGAACATGATATACTGAGAACAATAAAAGTTCCTTTTAGCTTGTTAATAAGAAGCAGAAACAAAAAAGGAAGAGAGCAAGTGTATTTGAACAAGAACATAAATCACTTGAACCAAGAGCATACTTCTCTCACCACTGTAGGTGATGCCTAGGATCTAACAAAGCCACTCGAAAGTCTATACAAGTAAATGAAAACAAGTAGAACTGTTAAGCATTTACTACATGCTTGATGTACTACAGTGCACACAAGTAAAATAGAAAAGATGATGGTAACTATTATGATATTAATCACTTAGGAGATGCAAAACTCTTCAGGCATCGGCCAATATCCAGCATAAATTTGATGAACTTCTTATGTTACACTTGCAATGATGTTCAGAATTGAAAAAGGTGAAAATATATTTGCATATGTGTATATAAGAATGTTCCAAAAGTCACTCACAAACAAGAAAGAGAAGCAGAATTTAGAATAATGCTTTCATAGCTGTGAGATAAATTGAGGTGTTGCTCTTTTCTAGCATTTCCAATTGACAAAAGCGGGATGAACCAAGGGTACTTAGCTTGGAAGCTCCACAACAAGATATGTATCAACTGGTCTTTCTTTAAAGGATCTTAGGATGATAAAGTGCAAAAACACAAGTTCAGGTTTCAGTGGCTGCTTAAGCAAGCATGCATACATTACTGCAGCACCCTCTCAAGACCCCATTCTAAACAAATCCTTAAATGGGTAATGATCCTTTAACACTAATGGTAAAGGTTTAACCAAATAGGATACAACCTATACAGCCAATACCATACCAAGACCGCAGTATTCCCACATATTACTTCAATAGACAAACTATTAAATTAAAGATTATGGGTTCTGGCAAAAATAAATAAATACATAAAGAAAGAAAGAAAGATTATGGGTATCCACACTTACAAAGCAGAAATTAAAGATTCACAAATTCAAGAAACAGATAAACTAGAAATGGAAAGTAGTAATAAAAAGAAGGGAAACGAGAAACATACGGCCTCTGGTTTGCCGATGAGTTTGGCAACCGAAGAGGTGGCCTCAGAGAGGATGGAGGAGGTGTCAACCCCATCCAGGTTCACGTTGGTTGAAAGGTTGAGGCAAGGCATCTTCTGTCTCTGAGCTGTGACTCTGGACTCTTCTCCAACTGCTGCTGCCAATGAGAGAGATCAGGAACCCCACACACTGATTTTCAATGCCCTAGCTTCGCTATCCCTATCATAAAGCAACCCAGGACCAGGCAGAAGTAACGCAAACATAATCGTTTTGTTACCCAAAATGCCCCTTCAACTGCCACCCCCAAGCCCCCGGCCAGCCAATGGGCCAATGCGATGCTCCTCTTGCTATGGGGCTCGTATTCAAAGCTAATCTGGACCACCACACATTGGGCATCTCAGCCATAGCCCATTTATATTTAATTTGGCAAAAGATTTGGTTGGCTTGGTTCTGTCAAGTTTTTCTAAAATAATAATTAATTTGTATGAAATTATACAATTTTGCTCATCTATAAAACGGTTTAAAAGTTTGAAAAATTAACGATTACATGATTAAATTTTTTATCCTAATAAGTGTACTAATATTTGGTTTTCTTCAAAATGAAAAACAAAACCTAGCTAATGGTCGACTCAGGAGCAAAGCTACAAGGCTGCGGGAGACTGGAGGAATTTGAGTAATTTGTGACCCTACCAAAGCCCTCAGCCTCATGCATGCTACACATGGAGTGGCTCATGATTTTCCATCAAAGTATATATAAAGCAGTGCATCAAAGTATAATTTGTTTGTATTGGACGATAGTTGAATACTGTATTTATTAGTCCATCGCTAGGGCCGTTTAAAATGATACAGAAACTGGAAACCATCTACTTAAATTGTAAACATGCATATTTAAGGTTAAGGAATTATATTTTGGAGACGTTGCGACCGGCTGTTGTATCATAAACTTTGAGAAAAAATCGCGTTCTGGGAATACACAACTTGTTCTGTAAAATTGTGCCCAGTGTGGCAATCAACCTCCTCTTCACCTCTCCATTCATGCCGCCCATTGAGACCACCTCAGCGTACGCAGCTGGCTCCTTGTTCCCGTTAAATGATATTGCCACTGATCCCTTAAGAATGACCATCACGAACTGCATGCATTCGTGAATTAAATATTGTGTAATAAAGAATTAATTAAAAAACAAAACCAAGGTCTGAATTGGAATATAGTATAAAGCAAAACCAATGATTATCAGCTGCAAGCTAGCCTGCAATTAATCAAATAAACTGTGCTACTTGAATCCCCTTTCGGTTAAAACCACTTTTGTCGGAGCTAGGAAGTCTAAAGATAAACGTGTTGCAGGCTTGTAGGCTAGCTGTAGCAGAAATGCTTTATGCCTTTATTAGACCAGTTATCCAATTATTGTAATTCTTCGACTCCAAGTGACCGCCTCCTTATGCACAGATACATTTCAAGTAGGATTTCAAAAGGAAACCTGTTTATACAGTCTTTTCCAATTTCCTTGAACCTAATAATTACATCAACTAGATATTTCTTTGGTAGCTAATAACCTAATTAATTAGTAGGAAGTAGGATCATGTTTTCACCAAGTTTTCAGAGCTTCTTATATATTTTCAAAGTACTTATCCAAATACCAGGTGAAATTTTATGGCAGTGATGCTGGAATCGATGAGTTGAACAAATTAATGAAAAAACTGGAAAAGTGTATGTTTTTAGACAAGCTCAGTCTGTTCAGATCTGTTCAATGTTTCGGCATGCATGTAATCCACACAAAAATGCATGCAATTGATTTGAAGCTACCCTGGAAATGAGTTTCACATGTCATAACCCCTACAGCAAAATCGCTCCAACATTGACTAGTATATATCTTCTATCAGATTAAAGCTTGTTTTGACTTGGAATCTAGGATACTTAGATGCTGGCTCTTCTCCTCATTTATGAGCAAGTTAAAAAGTCAGTAAGATGAGATTCCTGTGCCTTTTTCTCTTTTGACTTATCCTAACATGGAAGTTTTCCATCAGTAAAAAAACTGAACGACATCTAATAAGGTTTGGAAAATGGAAAAAGAATTAAAGCAGGAAAGTATGTACCGTATATTCGAAAGAAAGAGTATAGAGAGTACATGACTTTACATTTTCGGGTTTTCCGATGATGGAGGCGACGGCTTTGGTTGCTTCGGAGAAGATGGGATCAGTGTCTACCTCATCCAAGTTGATGTTAGTTGAGATGTAAAGGCAAGGCATCTTCTTTTGAGTTGTGCTAATCTTATGCAGCAGTACTGAGCTGAAAAAGCTTTCGATAATAATTGCTCGTGGCTTATGATCTAAGCAAAGCAGGCAATTTGCCATGCCTTTATATAGCCAAATTTGAATATTGAATCTAGAAGCTAATTTTTAACGATAATACTTTATTATACTTTTTATCTTGGGGAAATGGAAAGGAGGCAACCTGTGGTGGTGGAGGTAGCAATCTTGGACAAATTGGGTTCTATTGGGCCACTAGAGGCTGCACGGTCTAATCTCTAACCGCTGGACCTGACTTCCACTTACCATAACTTTTATTAATTAATTAATTAATTAATTAATTAATGCGTGGTCTATTATTCTAAACAAAACTTTACTTTGTACTTCGGTCATTTTGTTGAAGATTGAAATTAAGGGAAAACAAAATATATGAGCATAAGTACTCATAAATGCTTCTCAAATGAATTTATATTATCTTATTTAAATTCTACCCATTACAAAATTAAAATGAGTTTTATATTATATTAATTAAGGGAAAATAAAGCAGACAAATCAGAGACCTGAGGTCTTAGTCAATCATCTCTTGCCCTGATTTTATTTATGATAATTAATTCATTCTTAAGTTATGTAAAAATGTATTTCAAAAAAAAGTTCTGTAATAATTTACTCTAGCCTTGTATATATTAGTAACTCTAGCCTTGTATATATTAGTATGAATGCCAAATCATGGGTTCTTCTATTAATGATATTGCTTAATTTGATTTGATTTAACACTTTAAATTTTATAATTTTGAGACATAATTTTATGAACATTTAAAATGAACAAGTTGAACTTGGAACTTGAAAAGATTGTCCAAAAAGGAGAAACAAAAGTTGTAATAAGGAAAGGAACCAAACATCAAATGTAACATAGTGGTCATATAAATTAAATAAATAAAGTCAAATTATGCCAGAGGTGTTTGTACTTTACCAAAATTTGAAATTTAATCTTTTTATTATAATTTTACAAATTTAATTCTCATATTATTTTAATTTGATAATTTTAATTCAATTACTAACTCTATTTAATTTTTACTGTTAAAAAAGCTAACATAGTCATTAACTTAATGATTGTGGACATTAATTTTGTTGATGTAGCATTGACTGCTAATATGATAACTTGGATGAATGAAATTAATTGTCAAATTATGCAAATAATCACTATACTCATTAAATTTAAACTTTAGTCGTTCTAGTATAATTCATAAAAATATGGTTTTCGTACAAGTTGAATTTGATAATGTTGGTTAAATTACTAATAAAAATCATGCTTTTAACTTTTTCTAAAATTATATTTTTATTTTTTAAAAAAATTAATATTTTCAAATTTTCAAATGTTTCCATAATTTTCAAATATTAAATTTAACATTTTAAAAATTTTTATAATTTTTTTAAAAAATCATATTTTAAAATTTTCTAAAATCAAATTTAATTTTTTTAAAATTCAATATTGTGATTTTTTTAAGAAATCTTCTTGATCTTCTAAAACATTAAATTTATTTTTTTAATTTTTCAGAAGTTTTATTTTTGTTCAAATTTTGCATTTTTATTTAATCAAAATATTTAATTTTTTGTTTTAAAATTTTTGGAATTTTTATAAAATTTTCTATATATTTTTAGAAATTTTCTATATATTTGTAATATTTAAATGCAAAATAAATAAATTATAGGGAAGACTCAAGCCTTTAGAATTTAGTTTGTTTTGATACATTTTAGGTGAAAAAGTATAAATATTTGAAAATGATGTGGCATGAATAGCTTCTGATTCTAATTTATTCTTCACTTGAATAACATAAAAAGCAAGTAAAAATTTTTAAAATTTTTAAAATCTTTTTAAAAATATAAAAAATATAAAATTCTTTTTAAAAAATAAAAGTTTAAAAATAAATAAAATTTTATAAAAATTCCAAAAACAATATAAACAGTAAAATTAAATATTTTGATTAAATAAAAATATTAAAGTTTGAAAAAAATATAAAAACTTTCAAAAAATGAAATTTGATTGAATTTTAAAATATTGAAAAAAGATAATTTAATGCATTTAAAAAATCAAAAAATTTTCTAAAAGATTAAAATTTTAAATTTTTTAAAAATGAAATCTTATTTTAAAATAATAAAAAATAAGATTATTCTTAAAAAATTAAAATTTTTAAAAATTTATAAAAACTTTAAAATTTTAAAATATGGATAAATTTTTAAAAAATTCAAAATATTAATTTAAAAAATTTTATTTTTTTAAATTAAAAAAAGTATACTAAAGAGATAAAAATTCAAATTTTCTACGAACATAAAAATTATTTGTATAATTTAAAATTAGTTTTATTAATCCAAATTGATTATATCGGTAAAGTCAAAGTCTACGTCAATAATCACATTAATATTTTTAATAATAAATATTTGATAGAATTAGTAATTAGATTAAAATAATTAAATCCCTGTGAATGAGCTGATGTTTCTCCCGTGTATTCTATGACTGGTGAGAGGATGTCTTGTCAAGTACAACGTTGAGTCTCCTACAAATTTTTTGTTGAAAGTTTTTCAACTTGACGAGTTCAGGTTCTTAACTTTACCATAAAGGTATAGTAGTGTGTTTATTTTAGCAAGCAGTACAGTTATGGATGGCGGAGGACCTAGGAAAGCTATGGGCGAAGCTCTTATTATCAACGCAGAAAAGAGAGAAGTAGTGGTATAGAAGGAATGGCTTGATAAAATAGAAGTAGAAGGGAGAACCTGTCTCTTGGGTAAAATTTTAACCAAGAAAAATTTGAATATAGAAGCGATGAAAATGGTCCTATACAAAGTATGAAAATTGGCAAAAGGGCTACATATAAAGGTGTTGGGGAAAGAGGTAAGCTTTCTAAAATTAAATCACCGACTCACAAGAAATAACTAATTTTAGATAATTATAAATAAATTACTCTATATTTTTTTTAAACTCAATCAACTTTTTAATAAGCTTATAAGATAACTAACAGAGAAAAAACTCAAACAGTTAACAGATAATGAAAAAGTGTAAAAAGTAGCTGAATATTAGGAATCACTAACTACTTGAAAAGTTCGTGGGGCTTTATTCAACATCTTCATTTGCTGCATTCTCACTTGGAATTATAATTTGAGTAGTCTCATTTTTTCCATTCCACTCCCAACTTGTATTTTCATCAAAGATCACATTTCTACTAATAATCACCTTGCCACTAAGAGAATTATATAGACGATATGCTTTGGATTGAGTGAATATCCCATAAAAATGCATTTTTTAGATTTTTCCTCAAGTTTGTGACGAGATTGAGAATTAATTAAAGCATATGCAACATAACAAAAAAATTTTAAATGGCTTACCATCGGCCTTGTACCTGTCCAAGCTTCATAAGATGTCTGATTGAGGACTACTTTGGTAGGAGAAAGATTTAACAAGTAAACAGTAGTTGCCATAGCTTTAGCTTAAAAATTATTCAGTAGTCTTCTTGCTTGTAACAAGCTTCTAGCTATTTTCACAACAATATGATTCTTTCTTTCAGCTACACCATTTTGCTCTAGAGTGTAGGGTGCAATCAATTCCCTGTGAATGCCATTTTTCTCACAAAAAAGGTTAAACTCATTAGATAAAAATTTTCCTCCTCGATCAATGTGAAGAGTCTTTATAAAAGCTCCACTTTATTTTTTCACAAGAGCCATTCTTCCACATAGCTCACTTGGTTCTAGCAATTTTCTTTTACATACTCAAATTTCTTATAATTGTAACACTGGACAGCGTTCCTATTCTTTTTTTGCTCACCAATAGACTATCTTTTTTTTCCATTAGAAGAGCCTCTTTTTTTACTTCTGCGATGTCTTTTTTTCATGAAAACCTCTTCTACCACATCTTTTGCCAACAGACACTTCCATTCTAGTTTCTTCCCCTTTCACTTGAAATGCCTTTTCATCAGTCTTCTCTTGTGATTTGTTTAGCCTTACCTCATGAGCTTGTAAAGAATCCATTAGTTCATTAAAAGAAAAAATAGACAAATCCTTAGACACTTCTATTACAGTAACTATATAGTCAAACTTTAAAGTTAGGCTTTGTAAAACTTTGAAAACGATGGTCTCGTCAGTAATCTTATCACTATAAGATCTCAGTTGAGTAACAATAAAAATTACTTTAGAAAGAAAATCTTGCACTGTTTGTCAACATCAAAGTTTCAAACTCATGTTGAAGAGTTTTGGAGTTTCACATCAATAACTTTTGAAAAGCTCTAAAACTCTTTTTGTAAGGTTTCTCAAGCTTAAAAAATATAAAAAAGTGGCTGAATATTAAGAATCACTCAATCACGTTTAACAACTATTACTAACTAATCTTAAAAACTAACGTCTACTACCAACTATATCTTAAAAACTAAGACTTTGAGCCTAAACATGAACTCAATACCACTTGCCATAAGTTGAGACTCATCTTTCAAGCCCATGTGACTTCAAGACTCGAGCATGGATTCATCCAGTGCCCTAGATCAGCGTAACTACCATGGTTTACAGTCTTGTGAAGTTTTATCCGCTCTGACCTTATGTTTTTATCTCACAAAAGACACTTCACAAGGAAAATATGGTGTGAACCTTTTTATCCTAAGACTAACTTTAGTACTCAATCGATGTGGGATTTTTGGCATCACTTCAGGACCGTGACATCATCCTCTACTCCAACGAGGGCCTATCATCCTCTATAGCACATCTCTAATACCTCTAGAGCTGGCTCTGATACCACTTGTCACTGATCGAGATAATATCTCCATGCCTGGACTGCTTCAGGACTCGGGCATGCACCATTTGACATCTCAGATTAATCTATCATGATTTACACTCTTGTGAGGTATTATCCACTTTGGTCCCTCTGACTTCATGATTTTATCCTACAAAAGGCATTTCACACAAAGAAGAATGTGTGACCCTTATATTCTATAACTAACTTTAGTACACAGTTGATGTAAGATTCTTGATTTCACTCCAAAGACCGTGAATCAGGAAGAAGGTATTTTTTTTTCTTTTTGAGGATTGTTTGGAGAAAAACAGAGTGTTAATGATGTAACCATGGACATTCAACAAATCACTTATTCTATTGAGAGAGTTTGAAGGAGTGGTTTCACTAGTGTCACTTTA